AAGTTTATCAAGGTTGTTATTTTCTTACTTATTTATTATAAAGTTCCATGATCCTAAATCATAAATCATTAAGCTACGAACCAAGCACAACCCATCACAATATCTCAAGTCATCCTAAATCACGGATCGCTCTCAAATGACCTGGTACGGCTGAGAGTGGAGAGAGTCAGCTCTGCCTCTCCGAATTTTCTTACAAGTCCATGTGCATATAACCACCGCCAGAGAAGTCCTACTCACTTACTTCTCGTGGTACCACTGTTGTTTACGAAATTCTGATGACAAAACGTGAATGTCCGGTGCCTTAACTGGGATGGTGGATACAAAGGATTCACCTAGGGAAGTTTGAAAACCCTGGTTCCAAACTAATGGTACACATGGTATCCAGTATCCTGAAAGAACAAATGGTGTATGAACCAATCGTTGGTCACCAGCTACCATGTTACTGCATCTCCTGACGTTATCTCATTACCTTATGGATTAGAACTTCAGGTCAAAGTCTCAGGGTGTGGACCCCTAAGTAATCCACTTACTCAGGCCGTATCCCAACCTTCACATAAATCGAATGATTTATGTGCCTCCTTGTATCATTGCTGGTGTGTTTAAATATATAAATAAAGATAAAAACCATAAATCTTGTAATCTGTTACAGAAGAATGAGAATATACTACCTCCTTTTTTATTCTGGATTCTATTAATATTAGTTCATTAAAAACTTAATACAGTATTCACATATAAATATTTAGAGAACATGGTATTGAATAACTAAACTATTTTGTCTAAAGACAAGTTTTTATTGTACTTTATGAAATGTAATTGAACTACTTTGTTTGTTCTGAGATTTATTTAACGTATAGAGTATAATTTTAAATATACTCCCACCACCCTAGAATTATACCTTTATATTGAACCAGTCTATTTATACTGTTACTATCAGAGATATGAAGTTGCTAAGTCGTAATATATTAAATTCTAACAACTGAAAAATAACTATGCTTTTACATTATAAGCTAGTATTTGATCATAGGTGTCTTCAAACTATTCCTCGTATATCCTGGGACCACCGAGTATGTAATGCAGTTGTCAGGAAACGGGTACTAGGTAGGGATGGTAAATTAACTGATAAAGTGGTGAAATATTATCAGTTGAGATAGCTGAGACATGTGTTACGTATGCCCAACCAGCGACTGCCCCGATAAGAGTTGTTTTATGGTGTAGGAGTAGGTTGGAATAATGATAGAGGCGGCCAGACCAAAACAAGGCACAAATCCATGAAGTCACTGATAAGTGGACTGAGCCATGTTGGTGGGTGTAGACTACCTGATTGGTTTCTGAAAGATGATAGCAACCGATGGTTAGAGACCTTGAATGACATGGCTCAAAATCATTTGTAATGGTGTGGGCAGGTGCATACACTCTTTGTGTTCTTCCAAATTCTTCTTATCCCTTTTTTGCTTTTTAAATTTATTCTACTGGATTATACTCCTTCAATAACATCTTCAAACCCTAATACTTCCGATTACTGCTTATACTTTTACTACCTCTACCACTATGGAATTTGAATCGACAACTGCATCTGTGTGCTAATGTGATATGATAACCCGAACTGATGTACGTACGTACGATGTTCTACGTTGTTACTGACTGACTGACTTTATATTATAAGGGATTTAATTAAGCATAATGTTCAAAATAAGTACAAACTTCCAAACGTTATTTCTAAATAATATGACCATAGTATGTTATTCAATAGGGATTAAATTTTCTATCAAAAGAAAACCTACTACAATATGCTAATAAATTGTAATAAAGGATAAAGGGTAACCAAAAGCTCTTTTTATTCAACTATAAAAATCATTATAAATTCTCACTGTTAATAGTATCACAAAAGGGTATGTGAAAAAGTGAAACAAACTAGAGAATTATGAAAATGTTAAATAGTGAAATAGAGTTGAAGAAAATATCAACAAGAAGTAGTCAACAGGAATCCCTGGACCTAGGTTTCGTGCTACTTGGCAGTCGTCTGTAAGGTGTACCTGTAATCTTGAAGGAACTGATGCTCTCTGATCGATTCGATTCCGTGTCAACCGGATTCACAGTCAAAGATGTTACCGCTGAGCTATCCAAGCCGCGACAGACATCCTGTAGGATTGAGATGTATTTAAAATTGATTGATCACTGGGTAGTAATCACTGTCATGTATGTCAGGTCCATCTTAGTGCGCAGAATCGAATCCTTAAGGGAACATCTGTTCCTTTATGATTACAGGTACACCTTGTTGATGAGTACCAAATAGCACGAAACCCGGGTTCAATATATCCTGTTGACTACCTCCAACCACCATCTTATCTCAATATGGTACACAAAATGTCAAATCATCTAAACAAGTGGCCACATTGCAGCTTGGTCGATAGTATTTGATCTGTACTAAGAAGGACCTGATCAGAGAAGAACACTCCATCAAAAATTAAGTAGATTTCATACTCCTCTCTAATGATGCCCGTTCTTAATTGAGATCTGATTTAGATTGGACGATTAAGTATTAGATATTCTTATCGTTTATTGTATTTTGTCCATATATCTGCCTATAAGAATGAGAATGGGTAGCACCTGGTTACTGGATTCAATTATAAATTTTTAATTATATGAAACCAAGTTATCTGAGTAAAGTAGTCATGAAAGGTATTTGTTTAAAGCTCCATGATAACAAGTTAAATTTCGCTTTCATAGGCGTATATATTTAAATAAATTTATACATACTTATTAATATATAATCAAAGGAAATTGGGAGAAGACGACGGAATTGGATAGAACATACATAATGGAAAGAATCAAACTGCATCACAACACAAGCGTTAACTTGGAATCCTGAAAGGAAACGGAAAACAAGAATGCCAAGGGACACATTGAGTGGAGAATTGGAAGCAAACATGAAAAGGATAAATATCAACTGGAAAGAATTGGAAAGGATTATCCAAGACACAGTTGGATGGAGAATGATGGTGGACGGTCTATATTGCTCCATGAAGGGTTACAGGTGTAAGCAAGTAAGTAAGTAAATAAGTATCTGAGTAAACTAATCTTGAAATGTGATTATTTAAACCTCCATTATAATAAGTTAAATTTCACTTTCTTATATGTATATATTTAAATAAATTTAGATGTATTGATCAATTTATTCTATGAGCATGACCAGTAGAATGTTCATTAATCCATTCTTTCATTTAGAAGGAACTGATAATTTTGCTAACCTGTGAACTATATGAAATTAACCACTGTTGTTAAATTCTAAATTTTAATCAGTATAAGTTGTTATTATAGTCCATCTTGAGCTACTACCTGTCCCAAGCCCGGATAAAGGAAGAGGGTTGAGCATAGGGTTAGCTACCCCATCTCATAGAAAATTAACTCACTGAAAAAAAAACACTAACCAAAAAATTAATGCAAGTTATTATTATACAGTTACAATAAATCAACAAACATTTCAATGTATAGTTAACTTTTTCTTCTCAATGTTATCTCATTAAGTGACAACTTGGATCAATCAAAGTTGTCTTCTTAATAAGAAATTCAGTTGATAATTGTTGTCAATTTAAATGGGCTAAAATTGTTGTATGACAACATTAAAAACATTTAGAAACATTTATATATAATAAAAATCATATTATTGAATCTCTTCAATTTATCTAACTGAAGGAGATCATAATTTCATTATCATCAGTTAGTCAGTCAGTCAGCTACAATGTAAGACTAGGCACATATATGCATCGGTTAAAGTTGCCACACCTCCACATCTTCCATTATACATAATGCTTATTTCATATTTAAAAAGAATAACATAGAGCATAAAGGTAGTGATTAAATCAAAATGTTACAAATGTAACAAATAACAATCTACTTACATTCTTATTTTACATATTTGTGATACTTTAGAAAGAAGAATAGTTATGAGGCAAATCAATAACCATGTTTAAATGTTAATTCTATAAAGAAACATTATATAGTTCTAATCGGATAAGAAATGATAGGTATATTTAAATCTTCAAAATTTAATATTTACAAGAAACATATATAAATGAAATAACAGTGAGACTAAAATATATGGACGACTTTTGAGCGATGATAAAGTGATCGTGAGAGTATCTACCCTAATAACTAGGAAAAAATGAAGGTTATAAACCAGTCTAAGGAATTGAAATTATGAATTGCAATTGATGATTAGAGTTAGGAATTAGATTTACTGTTTTTCATCACGAACTGACATCAGCTGTAATGTCAAAAATCTATTTAGCTAAATGGATGAGTGGATTTCATTCCGAAATCCGAGACCCGTGATCTTATATGTGATTGTTTCGTCCATAAATTTCAGTCTCATCAAAATACTTACTATGTATGAGTGTTAAGCGTAAATTGATAAAGAATGAAGATTGTCATATTTATAAATCAGATTGGAATTGTTTTTGTAGAGATTGTAGTAATTTCAGTAGTTGAATTCATGAGTCAATTAAAGCTAGACCATTGCTGAAGAATCCTATACTAGGACGAAATGGCCATCTATTGCTTCCAGGTTTTCCATGATGATCCGGCTTTAATGAACTCATGAATTCAACTACCATATATATATATATATATATATATATATATATATATATATATATCCATGTTAACGCGATACTAATGTACATAAATAATATTAACACTTAATATATACGCAAAAATGGATAGTGGTTAGCAGTGGAATCAAGGATGCGCGTTTCGTCCTATTTAGGATACATCAATTAAATGTACCTGCATCTCAGATTTAATGTTCGATCAGGGACTCGAACTCAGTAGTGTATATATGTCAATAAGACACTGATCAATTGTAATTTTTAATATCAATCAAAAGATTTAAACAAACAATATCAAGTGAACTAAATATATAGTTTATCAATTAATAATCCCTTCAAAAATAGAAAAAAAATGAAACGCTGATAAGTATTATCTAATTTCTAGATATTATTATAAAATCCAATTTCATATAAATTCTATTCATAATTTGATTATGACTATAAATAAATCTATTCACTTAGCAACTAAATAATGATTTTTTTTGTATGTCTATAAGAAAAAAACTTTTTTAATTGATTTTTCAAAATATTTTTTTTCAATGAATATATTATGAAATATTAAACATTACATGTTTACCAAAAAAAAAGAAAATAAACTCAAACTACTTTCTTTGTTTTTTTTTCTTTTTTTCGTTTTTGTTTATTTTTGTTTTAATTTAATTTTTATGATTTTCAAATAGTCAATAATCTGTATTTATTGATTAATTTCAAAGCATACACAATATTTAATATTATCATAGATAAATGTTACATTTCAATTCATAATTGTCTTAGTAACAATTGAACAAATTTTGAACTATGTCATATAGTTTATAATTTCTCTGAAAGATTTCATTCATTTAGTGTTCTTTTTATAGTTTATTATTTATTTATATAGAAATGTATAGTAAACTTCTATACTCAATACTAATAGTTCATTATCATCCTCATCAACCTCATCTATCATTCATTTGTATCCAAATGAGATTTAATTCATTAAAAGGTATCATTTCATTAATTATTTCATTCATTCATTATAACTTTATTTTTTTCATTAAAATCACATATCATAATATTTTCTTTTGGTATACATAATGTATGTTGTTTTGTTATTTTATTTTGTATACGATATTGTTGACGATATTGTATTGTATTTATAGTTGGTTGTTCATGATAGATTATTGATTTATTTATAAAAAATGGACAAAATATATGACAAAATGTTTGACGAAATTGATATGACATTGTTGTATATATAATAAAACTAATTGATTCATTTAATAATGTTAGAAAATCTAATAAATCACCTAAATGTTGATAAACATTCTCTTCAAATTGATCAATTAAATGTATACATGTTACTAAAATACCTTGTGGTAATTCAATTACTAAAAAACATAATACAATGGTTAATAATAATGCTGTAGTACGTGTTTCACGATTTAATTTTTTACTTTCATCATTATTATTATGATTATTATTATTATATAATGGAATTGATGTTGATTGTATTATAGATAATGATTTATCACGATATAGAAATAATAATTTACGACGTTTTATTGATTTTTGTAATTCAATAATTAATAATATCGTTAATATAGTTAATAAAAATGTTGGTGCAATTTTTGTAATTACAGCTTGTAACCATACATTAAAATTATGTAATTGTATTGTTCTCCAACCATGATTCAATTGTTTAATTGTTGTTATATTTTTATATTTTAATGAATGTTTATTATTAAAATCTGGTTCAGATGTTATATAATAATAAATTTGTATATTATTATTAAATATATTATCATGATTTATTTTAGAATTTAATATTGGTCCTAAACATGATTCTGAATGATTAACTAATATATTTGGTATAGATACAATAATACAAAATAATGTTGTTAATATAGCTGATAAAAATGCTCTTTTACGTGTTGTATAAATTGTACCAGATATTGGAAAACCAACATGTATATAACGAAATAATGCTAATAATACAGCTAACCATAATGCTAATGAATGTAACATTAATGCAAAACTAACAACTATTTCTTGATATATAATCCATAATTTACTTGGTGTATATATTGGATTTTTCATTGGATGTGGATGTATAATATAAAAATGATATAAACATGGTGCATATAATATCATTAATAATAAATCAGCAACAGCTAACCATAATAATAAATGATTTGTTGCAGTTTGTGCTAATTCACGTCTTGTTAATATAATTATATTTACTAAATTAGCTGGTATACCAAATGTACATACAGCTAAACTTAATGGACCATGAATTTTACTAAATTCTGTACCAAATTTTATAAGACTATAATTTGTAATTTTATCATTATTATTATTATTAATTATTGAAGAATTTAATTGATTAGTATGATTAATAAATTCCAATAATGATGGAATACATTCATTCATCTGGAGTTTTAATTCATATTATAATTCAATGATTATATATATAATTATTTCAATAAGATTATATCTTTAATAATAATAATGATAATAATAATAATAATGACAATTATATTCCGCCATACACCCCCACCCCATCAGTTCTCCTCCCTCCAAACACGAAAAAAAATGTATTACACTTCATTTAAAATATTAAAGTATCATCGTATAGAATTAAAATATAAAATTTTAAACCAATCAAATTTATAGAATTATTTTTCATTTAATTATCCAATCAAATTGAAGGAAATTCAAAAAATAATAATAATAATATTTTAATGATGTTGTTTAAATAAATGTTAAAATATTATAGAATATTTTATTGTTGAATTCATGAATTAATTCAAGTTAGATCATTATGGAAAATCTGGAAACATTGGATGGTTATTTCATTTTAGTATGGGATTCTTCAATAGTGTACATTCACGATCCTGTCTCATGAGATTCAAATCAAGGATCTATCAGTCTTGCAAGCAAACGCTTAACCACTAAACCACTGATGATGTTAATGTTTAAATTTAATGAATCCATGAAATTGAGAAACCATCCATCATTGTCTTCAGAGAGTTTTTATCTCGCAATAAACCCGGTTGAATTTCATTGATCACTGTTTCTCACTAGAATTTCAGGATACACCTTTTGAAGTCAGTCACTAGTGAGCATATAGTGATTTTTATCAGAAGGAGGGTTTTTGTAGAGATTGAAGCTTCAAACAACTCATGAATTCAAATATAAATTTACTAAATCCACCACAAAACCCCCTTTTAAGAATATTTTACATCTTTTTTCTATTAAAATAAATAATGTTTATATTGTAAACCATTTTATCTGTATATTAATAAGAAGTTATCTTATTCAGGATAAGAATAGTTTATTTTGACTATTCTGTTCAGTATAAATTCGTTTCTTCTTTTTGAATTCTCAATGTTAAATTAACTAATTGACTTGGAGTTTCACGGTTATTTTGTAATCTTTCATTTAAAGAAGATTAAGTAAAATGATTAATAAAGCTTTTTGTTTTGTCAGAAAATCAGTAAAGGATTTGTGTTTTTCTTACAATAACAAAAATATTTAGATCATTATCATTGAAATATTAAGTAATATATGGTCCAAACAACATTTCAGAGTATTTACATCATGTTTCATTAAGAACTAATGAGTATGTTTTGTACTTAAACGCTTAGATATCGATTTTCTTAAAGCACCCTTATTTGTAGAATACCGAAAGTCTTGAACTTGAAGTATAAAACTTAGATCAGGAAGTATAGAAGATGATTTACTTTAAAAATCAGTTAACATGGAGGAAACAAGGGTATTTTTAGGCTTGCACTTGGAGAAACTTCAGGAAAACATGTTAAGTTTTGTAACATAATCTGTAAGAGTCCTATCATTATTATATGATATATTTTTTGTTATATTTAAGAATTCTATCAAGTTGGTTAGATGGGAGTTAGTTTCTTTAAAAGATAGGAGATTTCAAATGTACCTTAGGAATACTAACATTTTCTAGTACTCTTATAATGAAAGAAAACTTAATTGGGAGAAACAACTTATTGTTTAACACCAAATTAGATAGTGTGTTCATAAAATATGAAAACCATACTTTAAATACATTATTTGCACATATTCTTTCAGTTGTCCTTCACGTGCTTCATGATTCTTTCAATTCTGTTGTTATTAAAATTTATCTCTGTTTTACTTCCTGTTGTCTTTTCCTGATGCCAGGCATTCCGTAATGTATATCCTATCCACTTCCAACGTTTTTTGCTAATTTTCTCCTACGCTGGAACCTGATTTGTCCTATCCCTTAGTAGAATGTTGTTGACGATATCCAGTCAACGAACATTCAGTATCTTACGTCAACAATTGTTTGTAAATACTTGAACCTATTTGATGATGGTTGTAGTAGTTCTCTGCGTTTCAGCTCCGTACAATACAACTGTCTTGATGTTCGTATTGAAGATTCTCATTTTGATATTTACTGACAGTTGTTTTGAGTTGTACACGTTTTTCAACTGTAGGAATACAGCCTTGACATCACGTCTACATCAGATCGTACACGTACACGCTACCTAAATACGTTAAACATTCTACTTTATCCAGAATCACCCGCATGATTGGGTTTGTTTGGTGTTCTCCATGTTGTATTTGAGGATCTTGCTTTTTCTTTTGTGTATGTTGAGGCCTACTGATTCAGAGGCTGCTGCTGCTGCACTATTTGCCTTCGTCTTTATTTGTTGGTGTGTATGGGTTAGGAGGGCTAGGTCATCTGCGAAGTCCCAATCTTCTGGTTGGTTGTGTTCCGTGTTTCTCTTGTGATTTCGAGGTCTTGATTTAATATCTGTCGACCATCAGAAGAATGAGAAAAGGAGAGAGTAGGCATTCTCGTCTGACTTCAGTCCTCATTTGTAATGTATCTGTCAGCCGATCTCCATGCACCACTTTGCACCGTAATCAGTCGTATGAATTCCGTATGATGTTGACGATCTTTTCAGGTAACATTAAAGAGTTGTTTGAGCCAATCCATAAATACAGTATTATGTGGTGTGGTTACTTAGTGCTATTGTTATCTTTCATGGAATTGAAGTGAAACAAGTCACTGGTAAAATCAAGCTATGCGAAACGTTTAATGCACTACTTATCAGTCGTGAATTTAATAAGCATTAAGTTTACAAAGACATGATCAATAAAAACAATTCACTAAGTACTGAAATGCAAGCTGACATTTAATTACCCTTTAACAGTGGGACTGTCATTGTACTGAGTCAATATACGTTCATTTTGACAAATATCAACCAATCCTAATATATTACTTATTGGTTTTCGAAAGAAGACGGTCAATCATAGTATGATCTTGAAGTTGAAATACTGAAATGAAAAAAGTGCTAATATGTGGTCAATTGAAGAAAGATTCTTTTGAAATTTGTTCACGTATACTAGTCATCACAATATGCTGATTTCATATTCTGAAGTATGTAGTTTGTCAGTTATCGAATTACATTGAAGTCATTAATATCAATAAAAGATCAGATATTTTTTTAGTAAAAATCCAAAATTGATCTTGGTTATACAACCATTAAATGCGTATAAGCACTGGATAGAAATTTCGTTTTATTATAGGTCTTCTCAACGTTACACATCCTTGACCTTGAGTACAGTACTCGAACACGGAATGTTTGGTATTGCACGCGAATACTTAACTTCTAGACCATTAAATCGGCATCCGGCGGTATGCATGTCTGGCTTCAATCATTTCATGGCATTGTGTAATATTCATTTATTTCTGGCTGTGAATAACTGCTTCACACTCTAAATGTAGAGTTCTACCGATCACAAAACTAATTTTAGTAATCAAATATAGATATTGTTACTCACTATTTAAATTAACACAATGTAAACAGAACTGGCTGCAAATAACATATAAATGACCATTATTTCATTCAATCAGATGAGTGAACCTCGTCAATATACATCAACTTCATTGATTACGAAAAGGCATTTGATAGTGTAAATAGGAGAACATTATGGAAACTTATTCAACACTATGGAGTTCCTGAGAAGATTTTCAATATTATCCTGAACTCATACGACGGAATACAGTACAAAGTAGTGCATGGAGGACAGCTGACAGATGCATTCCAAGTAAGGACAGGAGTCAGACAAGGCTGTCTACTCTCTCCCTTCCTCTTTCTTCTGATGGTCGACTGGATTATGAAGACTTCGACATGTGAGGGAAATTACGGCATACAATGGACAGCTCAGAACCAATTAGACGATTTGGACTTCACAGATGACCTAGCCCTCCTATCCCATAAACCTCAACAAATACAGATAAAGACAGTCAGTGTAGTAGCATTCTCTGCATCAATAGACCTCAACGTACACAAGGGAAAAACCAAGGTCCTCAAATATAACACGGAGAATAGCAGTCCAATCACTCTTGATGGCGAAACTCAGGAAGATGTAGAATCCTCTACATACCTGGGAAGCATCATCGATGAACAAGGAGGTTCAGATGCAGACGTAAAAACGAGGATTAGCAAAGCACGGACAGCATTCCTTCAATCGAAGAACATATGGAACTTAAAGCAACTTTCAACCAATATCAAAGTGAGAATCTTCAATATGAACGTCAAGACAGTTCTACTGTACGGTGCTGAAAATAAGAGAACTACAACAACCATCATGAAGAAGGTACAAGTATTTATAAATAGCTGTCTACACAAGATACTCAACATCCATTGGCCGGATACCATCAGCAACATCATTCCATGGAAGAGGACAAACTAGCTTCCAACTGAAGAGGAAATTAGGAAAAGACGATGGAAATGGATAGGACACACATTACAGAAATCACCAAACTGCATCACGAGTCAAACACTAACTTGGAATCCTGAAGCGAAGCGGGAAAGTGAAAGACCAAAGAACGCATTACGTTGGAATCAGATATGAAAAGAATGAATATGAACTAGAAAGAGCTAGAAAGGATTGCTTAGGACAGGGTTTGATGGAGAATGCTGGTGGGCGACCTATGCTCCTTTACGAGGAGTAACAGGCGTACATAAGAATGTATGTATTTTACTACCAAAAATAATACATTAAGTATTGAATTCCTTTTACATTTATAAAACATTAGAATTAGGATAATCATTTGTTCTTTACTTTTTTTTCCTGTCAAGTAAAATGTTAAATACTAATTAAATACTAAAGGACAGAACACAGCATGTTTAAACAAACTATTATCAACATGTAAAAAGATAAAATGTACTTGAGGTAAAGATAAAAGAATGACTGATATAGTTTTAAAAAAGTTATTCACTAACTAGTTTACTTACATAAAGTAATGTATCATGAATAGATGGACAGTTGGTTAAACAAATGGTGAATATATATAATAAACTGTGTCTACTGACATATATTCTTTTTGGTTTACCTTCAGTGAAAGAAGATGAAATAGTTAAACTCAAAGAATCAAGCAAAATCATAGATACATTTTAAGTGTTATAGTATATAATATACAGTATAATAATAATTACGTCATAAGTTCTAAGGTAAATCTGTTCTGATCAAGCATAAAGATCATTATTGGATGTTAATAAGAGAGTTCACGTTTGTCAATCATATTCTGATATAATGATAC